GTTTTGGCCATAACTCTGCATTACGAAGGTTATCTGACAACATCTCTGTTCGTGTCTTAAGGGTCGCATATTTTGCATTAATACAATCACAGTTAATGTACTGCAACATTGTATGGGGGAATTGCTCACATTCAAATAGGATTTTTGCACTACAACGGAAGGCAATCAGAATCGTTGGCAACTTGGATTACAGAGAAGATTGCAGGGACATGTTTATCCAACTAAGAGCACTAACTGTTCCTTCTATATATATATTTTAAATTGCATCTTGTATGCCAGATCTCAATTGGACAATTATTCCTTAAGATCTGACATACACTCCCACAACACACGTTCGTCCACAGAAGTTTATGTGAAATACTGTAGGCTACACAAAACATATAATAAAAAATAAATAAAAAGGCTACTGTAGTGCCACTCTTTAAAAAGGGAGATCCAAACACGTTGGGAAATTATCGACCGATTAGTTTATTATCTGCTCTTTCTAAGGTTTTAGAGCGCTCAATGAACGAGAAGTTAATCAATTTCTTTAACAAATATAAATTGTTCGCGACTAGCCAACATGCATACCTTAAAGGTCGCTCAGTAGACACAGCTTTTGTAATTTTTACTGACACCGTTTTGAGAGCTTTAGATGAAGGTCGGCTAGCAGCCGGGCTCTTCGTTGATCTTAGTAAAGCCTTTGATAACGTAAATCACGACTTGCTGCTGTCGAAACTTTATAATTATGGTATACGAGGTGTATCTATAAACTGGTATGCTTCGTATTTGTCATGTAGGTCTCAAAAGGTTGTGCATACCAAAGAATGTGTGCAAATATATTCAGATGAATCTCCTATCAACAGTGGGGTACCACAAGGTTCTATACTTGGTCCCACCTTGTTTTTAATTTTCATAAATGACCTTCATAATTATGTTCAAAAGGTTGATAACAACACCACCATTGTATCTTATGCTGACGACTCTAACTTCCTAGTTACAGGTACTACTATAGAACATATTAGACATAAACTATGTGCATTATACAAAACAATTTTAGACTGGGCAGAATTAAACGGACTTAAGGTCAATAAAGAGAAAACAGCTTTTATACTGTTTCGATCTCTACGTTCTAAAATCGGTTCCATAGAGGCACTACCGCTTAACGAGTTACTTGTCAACGCAACTGATAATTGCAAATTATTAGGTTTGTATTTTGATCAATTGTTAAATTGGTCTACACAGATCGACTTCCTTTGTTCTAAGTTATCTAAACTATGTTATGCACTCAAAGTAGCTTCATCGCATTGTAGCACAGACATACTAAAAAATATGTACTATGGATATTTTTATTCCACTCTTAAATACGGAATTATGTTCTGGGGAGGTAGTGGAATCAATCGGTTAGCCAGAATATTTTTATTACAAAAAAGAGCGATTAGAATTATATACAATGCAATGTACCGAGACAGTTGCAAACCAATTTTCAAAGAACAAGGTATGCTGACCTTGTATGGTATTTATGTGTATACAATCCTCTGCTTCGTATACTGTAATCGATGCTACTTTACAACAGACGTTGCAAATCATAAATACCCTTTACGAAACTGTTTACTTAAGGTTCAAAAACATAGTAGTGCCTTATATCAAAAAGGTGTTCTATATAAAGGTACTACTTTATTCAATGTTTTACCCTCTAACATCAAAACGATTACATCGTATCATTTATTTAAAAAAGCTGTGAGACGTTTGCTCATTGATTGTACCCCGTATTCACTAGAAGAATATGTTACTCATTGCAAGCTCTATGACTGACTTGATTAACTGGTGTGTCTCCTTTTAATCTAATATATTATTATTATTATATTATTATTTATTATAATGAGTTTTCAAAACACTTCTGTCATACTTTTTAATAAATTACCTGTAAGTATAAGAAAATTATCAATCCTAAGCCTTAGGAAAATTCTTAAATGTGTATTAATTAAACATGCATTTTATAACGTAGCAGAATTTGAAAATTTAGAAGATTTAGATTTCAACAATATTGTGTGACTTCTGCAAATGTATATTTTTTTGTTACAAGTATGCAGTCTATATATATTATTATTATTATTATTATTGCTAAAGTACCTGACCTGACTTATTTAAAATATTGTGCAATGCAAGCATAACTAATTGACGGTACGATCATTTTCATCTTTGATATCACTCATTCATCACAAGTTATGCGTTCCAGCTACCTGATGATGACGTAAAGTCGAAAAATATAGCCCAAAGAAATAAAAAATATAAGTTTTAACAACTTTCGTCTTGCGATATAGTTTACCATAACCATTTTTAAGGGAATGTTACAATTACTTCTTCTACTCCACTTTGGTTAATCTTCAATAATATTAATATGCCATAACATACCGTTTAGTGTATTCTGCAAAACAAAACCTAATACTGCGGATCATGTATGAAGTTATGCGTCAAATTAAAACCAAGTCAGCTAGCCACAAAAAATTGCAAATGTAAAAGCTTGTCTACTTTAAATTGTGCACATCTCTCCTGCAATATATTTAGGATACCTCTCTAGGGACATGCTGTATCCTGTATCTAAAATACGAGATAATAGTAGTCACAAAGTGAAAACCGGCTGCAACGCAATCATGTATAATTACCTCGAATGTAATAATCTAAAGAACAAATGATACAGTACATCACCTATGTAAACTCAAAAACCAAGTCAAGTGCCGCTTTCACTTTTTCCTCCCAAAATCTCACAGGCGTGTCCTCCCACTTACGCAAAACTTCATCGAAATCGAAATATTATACTGAACTACCACTACCAAGTACCAGTGCTGTCCCTTTACAGAAGCCCGCCTTTTCAGTATTACCTTGAATTTCTGCATTCGTACATAATGAACGTCCTTCACTTTTGAGGAGAAACATTTCATGTTCAAATCCCAAACAGCACTAATACCTACCACTGAACTCTAAATCTTCGATTGGTTCGCGATTATTAAATAATCGAATAATCCCTTATCGAAACATCGATTATTTGATTACTAATTATGGAAAAAAAACCATTACCTACTTCATTGTCGACTGTCCATCACTTAATCAAAAACCCCAATTATTTATAGAAACTGATAATCGACTGTTTAAACTTAAAAAGTTGATCGTTTTTCTGGTGTTGGAAGAATACCGAATCTATCTATAATTTATTAACTATTTGGCAAGATCTTTCAACCAAATGTTTCGTGAAGAATACTTTGGTATTTGTTAAGTTTAAAGTATCATTTTTATACTAATAGTAGATAAGGTAAACATACACATCCTACCCTTTTTACTTCTACTTATCTCCCTTGAATCCATCTTGTGCCATCACTCAAACGCAAGCCAGCGATTATTGATCGTATATGCCAATCTTGCTCGGTATTACGAGTTGAGATTGAAGCCGCAAAAATGGGGTAGGGTGATTTTGGAAACAGAAAACTTCGAAAATATTGAGAAGAATGATAATCAGAAGCTGTAGTAATTCCCATTGTTATTCAGTGATAAACTTCCCGATATTTTCTGTAGTATAATAATTGTAGAATGTTTATTTACAATTCACTTCTCTATATCGTTATAAACCTAACTAACGCTTTGAAATGGTGCGGCACGCTTCATTATATAAATATCTACGAGAATATTATTGTTGTAAATTGAAGAGTAGAAACCTCTACACACTATACGAAACCTAAATAGCGCGTTACACCTTCACCCTATAGTAATTAGGATTTGAGAACAAAGTGCGTGCCTTCGGCACTGGTACAACCCCTCGAGAAATAAGCATTCGATATGACTGGTAAATAGTATACTTCTAACCTGGAGCGTATAGGGTTGAAGTGAGGATTTTCGAATGCAAATTAGGGTGTTTTTGGCGTACCGAGGGTTGCTATATCTAATTTTTAGCTCGAATTAAATTTTCGCGCGGTAGTACTACAAGTTTATATCATTTTAGGTGTAGAATTTGTAAAGCTTTTTAATATTTTCCTCAAAATTAAAAAGTAACGTTAATTAGAGATTTGAGTTAATGCGGAAAATGTTATTAGCTAATTGGGTTGACTTTGACTCCTTCTAATTTAACGAATAAAATTTGCATTAGTCACGTCTTCATTAAACAAATTAAATTCAACAACACGAAAATATTAATTATTGTTATTAGTATTAGGGCGACGTTTTCTTTTAATATTTAAAATGCGTAAGCGTGGGCGGAAAAGCCAAGAAACTTGAATATCTATGGTAATAATCGTAATATCAAATCATATGATAACAAAGTGTGAGGAATGTATTTTTGTGGTTATTCGAAAAATAATTTCAGGACTCTTCTTGGCGTATTAAAATTTCGTTTAAAAAATAAAATTATACAGTTTTCTCAATTCTATGCCGTCATTAATATTCATCAAGTTCTTAATAGTTAACTCTCTTATTAAAAAACACTCGCGCAGAGCTATACCGTTTGAAATTGCTTGGGTTAATTTATAAAACCAAATCAGTCCTTTGTTCCGTGAAAACGAAAATCGCCAATTAATTGCAACTCTGGAGATCAAGCTTGTGTAAATAGAGTTTTGCGAACTTTCAGTGTGGTAAGCGGATAATGCTTGTATCCAAGTATTACGCACGATTCGGTTACAATACTCGTAACACGTGATGTCGAAATTTCTCGAAGAGTAAATATTACGTTCGCCCCTTTTAAACTTCCAATCGGATCCGATTTGGCAACAATAATAACACTCAATAATAAGTTAACACGCCATCTATTCCATAGATATTGATATTTAGTGATTGGTATTGCGTGCCCTTTGGAGTTCATAAACGAAATTGCTAGTGTTTCTTTCTATGTATACAATGTGTTTTAAATTTGTAGTGTCTCGGTTGACTTGCACAGAACAGTTGCCCAGTGTTTTATACATCTTAAAATTGCATATGTCATCAAAATTCTAATTTCAAAGTTTTCTGTTAGTTTAATGATCAAAAACCCATTTCAGAAGGATCATGCTGCCTTCTTCAGGAATATGAGTTTCTGTAAGTTTAATGTGAAGATGTTGTCTATTTGTTGACGTATTTGCTAATTAGTAGAAGTAGAAAGTTTAATACATTCCTGTAGAGAAAAAAGCAACCCACTAGAAATTAGCACTCGATTGTAGAGAAACACTGTACGTTTTGTGCTAATCAATTTAAGACCGCTTTTACACGGGGATACACCCGGATACCGGTATCTCGGATACACCTGAAACACTGCGTCTTATGGAGCCGTTCACACACGCATACATTATCGTTGACAAAAGGTCTCGGCTACGCGATTTGACAATCTTGGGGGACTGATAGGCTATTGGTTCATTGGGACTGTTTACATGAGGAGAGTTTTTCATTAGCCAGCCACTGCATGGCCGAAAAGGTACTTCCCTGCGAAAGAGAAGTTTCGCATGCCTAAGTCTGCGACGTGTATTTGACAGACATTCTAACGATAGACTGTATCTCGAACACAGTATGTGGTATACAGTATCCCCGTGTAAAAGCAGTTGAAAGGTTAGGTGTTTATCTTTCCAGTGGCGTACCTAGAAATTTTGCGGTCTCCAATTTTTAAGACAGTAAAGGGTGGTTTTTATAAATTAATAAGCATGAACAAATAATTGTTATTGAGACAAAGTATAGGTGGGGAACTTTTTAGCGCATTTGTTTAATAGTTAAAAAAAGATGTGCTATTGTTTGCGTCTTAACCGTCCGTCAGTCCGGACCCACTTCCTGTTCTGAAATTTCCTGCAATAGGTAGCCTATACCTTGAAGGTGTGCTAGGTGACCATCAAATAACTTTTACATAAGACAACCACTCTGTGTCAGATTTTACATACACATGCTTGTGGTGGTTCGTGGTATTCTAATAAAAGGTCTCATCGAAATGAATTGGTTCCTACAAACTAAAATAAAGGGAGATGGGGCAGACACCGGCTTTATTCATTAATCATCTATCAAGAAGGTAAACGTCTATAAATATAGCATGCACCAAACTATTTACTAAGCTATTTCGGTTTACAAAAATGCGCTTTCTCTTTGTGCAAAATGTATACTTGTTTACTATTGGATGCGCTAGTTAAATTGCGCAGTAATAAAAGAGGCCTCATAAGTGAATATGCCTATAAATGCAACTTTTATAAAAATACATGATACTTTTTTTAATGGCCACGAAAACTTACGGAGGTCAGGGGTTGCCCACATATGAGGCAAAACAAATACTTAATTTAGAAAAAAATTACCATTACATATTTGTTACTTTAGATGTATAAATAAATAATTTCCTTTCTTTTGGATTAACAAACAAATTTTACACGTATGTATATTATGTAAATTAGAAAACTTTTTTATTATGTTTTCAAAATTTATATTAATTTGTTCTGTGGGCAATATTAAAAGGTTTTGTAGTCTTAAATCACTCATTTTGGAACAAAGATCATTTTGATTAACTTTAGCTTTCACAACTAGCCACACTGCTAGCAATTTGTTAGAAAATTTCTTACCAAAATTACAATGTTGGGTACAATATTTTCCAATCTATACTGTTGAATAAATTTTAGTAGATCAACAGGGCCTTCCGCCCCGTTTTTCAAACGGTTGCCTCTTCTTGTAGTGGACATACAGCCAGAAGAACTTTGATTCTTTTTCTTTCAATATGAAACTGTTCTTTATCATTGTCGATAAAATCATTTACTAGACATTCACATTCTTCATTTAGTAGATTACATGGTATTATACACGAATATTTTCTCGCAATAATTATGTCAATAGATAAAAACATTTCTCTTCGTACTTGTTCTAAGGATACCCCGCCGTCTCGTGAATTTTCCCCGCTCATATTTTTTCTCCTTCTAACTTGACGTTCAGTCGATATGTCAAACGTCGTTGAAATCGAATAGTAAACTTAAGAAGTTAACAAGTTTTTTACCACGAAAACTAAATATAAAAATCCGCCTCAAAATATGTGCTGCCCGGTGCGGACTGCACCTACCACCCCCCTCTAGGTACGCCACTGTAGCAATCCCTGTTTCAATAAAAGAAATGTTGAGATAGTATCTCAGTCTTTGTCTACAGTTTTGTATCATTACTGAGGCAACACGTACAAGTTATTTCTATGGTGGTTTACAGATTTTACATCAATCTACGAGTTAAATCTAATAAATGCCTTAAAATGGGTAATTCTGCTAATATTAGAATCTTTGAACTATAAAATTTGCCATTTGTCACAATACTGAATCGTAGAAGGAAACGATTGAGATACTTACAGTCAACACCTAATTAAGGCAACTTCGTTTAAAATATTATTTTCTTTCTATATCTATGCAAAGAACGAGGCTAATGTCATCTGTTCCGTAAAACGCTTCTACGACACTTTAGCAATGCAATAGTATTAATTTTACATGCAATGGCTCTCCAATACGCTCACAGTAGTATTGGTAGTATTAATTTTTTATTCCTTAGGTATACACAAAATGTACGACAATAAAACAATAATTGTTAGGAAAAACTGTACAATAGCTGAAATTACATAAGTACATATATTAAAATCGATAGTCCACAATGCGATCATCTTGTAAGCAGGCTTCGGCAAGATCTTGATTTATTAGGATCAAAGTTTTAAATCAGAAATATGCAACAAAGGTCTCTTGAAAAGATATTCTGTTGAGTATTGCTGTTGAGTATGTGTACATGAAGAGTGGAATTTAGGTGTATCGATGTATACGATGACTACGTCATTATGTAAGGACACATTTTCACCGATTGATTGATGCCAGGCACTTTGCTCGAAATAAGCCGAAACCTTTACAAAATTTTAATTATCTGATATCTCCCAAAAAAACCTTCGCATCAGTTTTATAGCTAAAATCCTTTTATCCCAATTATACACTCGTCAAACTCGTGCAAGCTCGCGAAAAAATGTGTGATAAATATTTTGCAAATGCTTACAAAAAATCTTTAAATTAGTTAAAAAATTACCATTACATTTTTTTATGTTTATAGGTTGTGCTTTCGTGAAATTCAGTTCGCATCAGGAAGCACAGGCTGCCATTAATAGCTTGCACGGGAGCCAAACTATGCCGGTAAGTTTTATTATATTTTTAATGCATTTTCGGATTTTCAATTTATTTTAGAAAAAATGACCCTTTAACATTGATATATACAGTTCACGAAATGCATTTATCGAAATGATAATTTATTTACATGTGTTAATACCGCTCAATATTCCCCGTAAAAAGTGCAAAAAAAATTCAAAACAATTCGAAACTACAAAGAGTTAATATTAAAACAAGTTGTAAATCAGCATATGCATGATTAAAGCGCATTTTTGGTAATGCAGGTCAGTATTTTATTAGCGAAGTTTAAAATTATCGATCTCACGAGTAATTTTGGCTGCGTTAAATAATTAATTTTATTTAATTTCAATTGACGGTACGTCTTCATTTTGTAAAACAAATCACAAAGTAAATAATAAGTTTTTATACTGGTAGCGCTATCTAACGGTAAAATTATAGCACCTCCGAAACCCATATCGAAATTATTTTCTTCAATTGTCTATCTCACAAGTAATGTAACTCAAAATAGACTAGTGCCTGCACATCTACACTATAGCAGGAAGCTTTTAGTGAAAATTTGAAGTCTCTAGCTATTGTAGTTGTGGAGATCTAACGCGGACAGCCGGCCTGCCAGCAATAACGAATATAATAGTGTATTTTTTTCAAAAATGCGCTAAAAAAAGTAACTTTCAACTTATAAATTAAAAATATAATGGGAACCGTTTATAAGTGGGCGCGTCAGTTAATTCTCAATAAAGTAACCTCCCACCCCTCATCTTTCTTTTCGCAGCACTGTGTAGATGTGGATATTTCTATTACACAAAAGAGTGGCTGTTTAAATAGAGTTTTTTTCTAACTATATTTAAAATTGCTTAAAGCGAAGACTTTTTTATATTGTTCAGCTTTAAATGGCATTATATGAAAAAGTAATTTTACAAAGTACATCAGAACAGAGAAAATCGCTCTTTTTGAGGTGGGACTAAAATAAACAGAACGCTCAAGTGCGCCTAATGACTGAGTACACATAATCTGCATACTTCGCCATGCTTTTGCAAGTCCTGGCATATGCCTGCGTTGCTATTGCCTCATTTGCAACCTGCAGGTCGATCATTTACATAGAATAACAACCGCGGGTGGTTTGTCAGAGAATTGAGCTACTGCTCTCACACTGTTCATTAATATTTCATGTTTGTATATATTTTTGGATTGTAATTGATGACATTTTGTAACATTTTATTATAACCATTTATATTTCTAGTACTCCAAGCGCTTGTTTATTTATTTGTCGTAACATTTTGATGTACTTCTACCAATCCGTTCATATATCCCAGGCCCATCGCAGAAAAATATCCAGCCTAAACTTTCACGGCATTTCGTATTACGATTGTAATGTACATACATGACAACGTTTATTGATTAGTAGGGGTTGCATTGGAAAGTGAATGGAAATCACGTTCTTCTCTTATAGCCTTCGATATAAATCTGGACACTACCACAGTTGGGCCATTTTGTGGTCGGTACTGTAATAGATTTTCAACAAAACTTGGTCAACAGTTAGAAACATGTAATCGCCGCACTCGTGCTTTTGGCTCAAACGTATTTTTCACGCGTTGGCCTCGACACGTACACCATCCATATTTAATGATGGTACTTGCTATAATGATATATTATTGATGAGGAGTTTATGATTGTCATTGTCACGAGCTCAAGTTTAATGAGCTCTACAATGACAACCATAAACTGGGAAACAATACTATTTTATACAATTTGCGATGTCCATCTTTGATGACATATTTGAAACCAATGTCATACCACAGATATACATAAATAACGTATATCTGTGGTCATACGTACATTATAAATAGGTATGTCCAGATTTCAGAATATAAAGTCAACTGCCACTGTGAGTGGTTTAAATACGATGATGAACAAATGGCGTTTAAAAAACCACATGATAATGATATCCTTAAACTGTCATGTACATGGAATATTACGATACGATAAACTGACGCTTGAAGATAAAATGTGGACTCTCCATCTTTAATACAAGCACAAAGTGAATCCAGTTTATGGTTGAAGCAGTGTAAGTGAGACAGACAATTTTAGCATAGTTCTATCACACTTCCGCTAGTGGGGTCTTATGGAGATTTCTTACGAAAATGATGATCGCGTGCATTTATTTCAATCTGCAGGGCACACGTAAGTATGTAGATAGGAAAAAATGTATAGATAACAATTGAATGGGACTAAATGTACCTCAAAAAACTTTGCGACTGCATATGATTATCTTCAACCGTTTGTGAACAATAAGGATTTATCTATGTTCACCTGTATGTTGTTCCGCAATGCCGTTGAATGCGCTGAGTTCTCCGGCGTCTACACTCGACACGGACTTTTCATCCATTCATTTTAACTTCAAATATATTTTGTGCTGGCTATGCATTATTTGTAAATGATGTAAAAATGTCACGTCACGTCACGCGCAAATGATACACAATGTAATGTTCTACAAAAGAGGCCACTTCGGGGTGTGTCTGTGTTAAATGGTTTACGTCTTATAGTCATTCAAGGGTATCGCAGACGTCAACACGAATATTTGCCCGGAACTAGGCCCGGAATCTTTGTTGGGAATTTAGTCCTCTTTATCTTCTAAATGTTTTTTTTATCTATTTCGGGTTGGTCTGAGTTTTAAACTAAATGCGCATAAAGTGATTTTCTTAAGAAAACACCATAAGACTCCATTAGTGAAAGTCGAGGCTTTCCGTCTCTTTCTGCCATGGATCAGGGCATTTTTTCACAACTTGACGAGTAGTTCATACATCCCTCTTTATTTCACACCGTGACTTCTACTTACAGCGTCGGTATACCTTTTCATTCTATTTGGTTTGCACTTGTGCTAAATCAATTTCGAACGACGTAACAAAGTCCGTCCTTTTTTTAACATATAATTGGATTAAGGAATATAAAAAAAATAAAATTGAAATACTCCTGCGCATAAATAAATTTTGCAAACACCTGAAACAATCTCTGAGTACGAATCAACAAAGTGATCATAATTAAGCATGAGACATCTATCTGGATCGTTAAAGGGTTTGCATAAACACACGATTTATATGAATTTACACAGATAAAATTTATTCTAACACACAAATCAAATTAATAACAAAATTCTACCAACCAAAGTAGACTATAACAAAGTCAGCTTACGCAGTCACAATCTTAGCCCACTACACTTTTTTTCTTCTCTCTTCTTCGGGGCACAAGGAACGTGATTTTATTGCATTGAATTAAACTGGCGAGCGATGAAACAAACCAAGAACAACTTGCCACAAAAATTAGCGCAGAACGCGCGTCTTTTAATCTTTCAACGAACAGCAACCCGGTCTCGAAATTGGCAAAGGCCTTCCTCTAACACCAATTTCACTATTTAAAGTCACTCTCCTATTTTCCAAAATTCGAAGATTCCTCCAATTACCGAACACGTAGCAACACAACGGCCAGTCACACATCCATTTCTTGTTCCTCTTTAGGTACCTAAATGAATGATTAGGCTAACTTCTATTATCGCCCAGAACATTTTTCTACGAAAACACTCCGTTTTTGCTCGTTAAAACGCATTCTTATCGCTAATAAATTAAATCATCCTTTTAACAAAATTAATAAAAGTGCTCATAAATTAAAACAGAATAATCGGTAAATTGCCCTACATTTACCAATTCTAGGAATAAATTTTTTAAAAAAGGAAAAACAGACCACTTGAATACAACTAGTACCGCAATAGTCATTTTATGTTTACACCTAAAGACCCCACCAGAATAATTAAATAATTTGAGAAGAAACTTAACTAACATTACTATCAACGCACATTGACATTGTTTGCATAGCAGTATATTCGTCCACCCATCTATACATAGGTGTGTTCAAGTATTATACCTCCAACTGAGAAATTGACGACAAAAGAACATATGTACGTACATTTATGCTAACGAAAAAAATACCTACCCTTGTGAACCAGTTACGATTTTTACTTGTTTTTGAATTGATAGCGGATTAAATTGAACAGGATAATTAATCCATACATCGGGCGGATTATACATCGAAAATTCTCTTTTCCATGTATATTAAAATCAACAAGCAGCAGATAAAACATAAAATTTGTAAACACAATTTAATTACTACCAGTTTACACAACTAATCGAGACAAAGACCACATTTGACATTTAACAAATTCGCTCAAACTATATATGCAGTTTTTTTGTGCCATTTTCTTGCTTCTCTAATATAGGTAAGTGTATAATGAATGAATGAGCGACACTTACCAGAGATACGATTCTCGATTTATTTGAAGGTTGGGTTTGCAACTTTCACCGAGCACACAGAGTAACTGAAATGATATTAAATTTAGACAAACACACAAAAAGTTTAGTTTTCGTACATAGTACCGATATTCGAAAATTAGGTAAGGGTTTAAGGCCTACCATATTTAATGTAAAATCATGATACTACAACAGTATCATGATGTAAAATAGGGAGTTATCAATTAATGATCGAGTAACATGAGGAAACGGGCCCTTGGATCTACAAAACAACAAAATGTCGTATTTTGATCAGTATCATTATCATGCAATGATATTTTGTTTTTAGCGCATTTTTGAAAAAAATACGCTATTACCTATATTCGTTATGGCTGGCTGGCTGTCCGGCTGAGATCTCAGCAATTACAATAGCTAGAGACTTCAAATTTTCACTAAAAGCTTTCTGCTATAGTGTAGAATGTGTAGGCTCTAGTCTATTTTGAGTTAGATTGCTCATGAGATAGATAATTTTAAACTTCGCTAATAAAATACTGATCGGTATTATCAAAAATGCGCTTTCATCATGCATAATGGTGATTTACAACTTGTTTTAATTTCAGATTTGGATTCAGTAGAAATTTACAGTTTGAAAATTCCTCTATGGTGTAAAAAGCCTTTGAAATTAAAAAACGCTTTATTATTTTTTTAAACCTTTGAATTCCTGCATTCTTT